TAATAATAATTTAAATAAAATAATTAGAAGAAACAATATACTGTACCTCAATAAGTGTGGGATCATTCAGAGAAAGCAGACATGGCAGTTAATTAGTTCACCTTCTGCTAATTATGTGCAAGTTTTCTTCAGGGTTAATTAGCGAGAGTGACTGATTTAAATGTGTGATTGACGTCGCAGTGACTTACGCATGCAGGACTCCATATGATTCTGAAGTCTGACTGCAGAAACACACAAGATACTGTAAATCTGACATGCATATGCAAGTCTTAAATAACGAAAAGCGAAATCAGTAATAAATGTACATGTTAGTAATTTTTAAGGATACATTCATAATAAAGTGTGCATTTTAATGACTAATTCATTATTAACCAATTAATTAGAGCAGTTGGACAGGTGTACCTAATAAAGTGGCCAGTGAGTGTACTGATTATTGTGAGGTTTAGAAACAACATGATCAGATAAGCTTGTACATTTGAAATCTATTTGGCGTATAAGTATCGAGTACTATTGCAGAAATCTGGTTCATTTATGAATAACAGACAAACATGCATTACATAACATGCATTGATTTAAATGCATGCACAATTGATATGCAATTCAAATGCATACACCTTAAATTGAGCTAGTCATTTCAGGAAAGATCACAGAGCCTACAGGCATCTATTGTCGACGCCTGAGATGGAAAAAAAAAATTAAAAGATCATAAACATAAACACACTTTCAGCGAAAGGTGAAGCGTCGCATACAGTGACATTTTGACACCTTCTCATGAACTCAATCCTCAAGTGACGCACGGAACATCCAGCCAGCGCTCTGTAATTACGCTAAAAATATCTGTAATTAAAGTCTGCTTATGATGACTCATGGCTACAGTTTCCACTCAAAGCAACGAAGATGCACAAGTCTATTAAAGACGCTTTGTTAATTAAATCCTTCTGCGGCTTCAGGGAACCACAGGCCAGAAATTTAAAACGATCCAATTAAGACGGACTAAAAACAGCAATCGAATAGCAGCAGCTGATTCGTTCTGTAGCTGACACAAAAAAAAAAAACATTCATTTGCCTAAAAATGTCTTTGTAATAATGACAAAACTTTTTCATGAGAAACATGGTGCAAACACAGCAGAAAAGATGCTCAGTAGAACTTACTCTGCCCGACTGATCAAATGATCATACTCTACTCTGATTGGTCAGATGACCCTATAGTGATCTACATGGTCAGATGACCTTTCTGTGCTCTGATTGGTCAGATGATAGAACTCTGCTCTCATTGGTCAGATGACCCTACTCTGCTCTGATTGAACAGATGGCCACACTCTGCTCTGATTGGTCAAATAATCGTACTCTGCCCTGATTGGTCAAATAATCGTACTCTGCTCTGATTGGTCAAATTATCATACTCTGCTCTGACTGGTCGAATAATCCTACTCTGCTCTGATTGGTCAGGCGACCCTACTGTGCTTTGATTGGTCAGATGATCTTACTCTGTTCTGATTTGTCAGAAGACCCTACACTACCCTGATTGGTCGAATAATCCTACTCTGCTCTGATTGGTCAGGTGACCCTACTGTGATTTGATTGGTCAGATGATCTTACTCTGTTCTCATTTGTCAGAAGACCCTACACTACCCTGATTGGTCGAACAATCCTACTCTGTACTGATTGGCCAAATAAACATACTCTACTCTGATTGGTCAGATGCCTCTACTGTGCTTTGATTGGTCAGATTATCTTACTCTGCTCTCTGCTCTGATTGGCCAGATGATCTTACTCTGTTCTCACTTGTCAGATGACCCTACACTACCCTGATTGGTCAAATCATCCTACTCTGCTCAGATTGGTCAGATGACCTGACTCTGCCCTGATTGGTCAAATGAACATACTCTGCCCTGATTGGCCAAATAAACATACTCTATTCTGGTTGGTCAAATGCCTCTACTGTGCTTTGATTGATCATATTATCTTACTCTGCTCTCTGCTCTGATTGGCAAGATGAATTTACTCTGCTCTGATTGGTCAGATAATCTTACTCTGCCCTGATTGGCCACAAAATCCAACTCGCTTGGTCAGATGACCCTATTGTGTTATTGATTGGTCAGATAATAGTGCTCTGATTGATCAAATGATCACACTCTGCTCTGATTGGTCAGATGACCCTATTGTGATCTAATTGGTCAGATGACCCTTCTGCGCTTTGATTGGTCAGATGATAGTGCTCTAGTTGAACTTACTCAGCTCTGATTGGTCAAACCATCTCACTCTCCTCGCATTGGTCAGATGGCCCTACACTGCCCTGATTCGCCAAATCATCCTACTCTGCTCTGATTGGTCAGATGACCCTATTGTAATCTAGATGGTCAGATGCCCCTACAGTGCTTTGATTGGTCAGATGATCTTACACTGCTCTCTGCTCTGATTGGTGACATGATAGTGTTCTGATTGGCCAGATGAACTAACTCTCCTCTCATTGGTCAGACGATCTTTGGTAAGGTGACCCTACTTTGCTCTGATTGGACATATGATAGTGCTCTGATCTGGTCAGATGACCCTTCTCTGCTCAGATTTGAACATATCACAGTGCTCTGATTGGTTAGATGACCCTACTGTGCTCTGATTGATCAATTACTCATACTCTGCTCTGATTGGTCAGATGACCCTATGGTGATCTAATTGGTTAGATGATCCTTCTGTGCTTTAATTGGCCAGCACAATTACCGATGAAGGTTTAATCAAATAATGCAGTCATGATGAGCACAATTAAAAACATTCAAAACTCATACTGATCCCATACGACTGGTCAGTAGCGTCATGGCTTTACTCTTTCCTTTATGCGATCGTAAAAACTGCTATATTTGTGCGAGTGTCCACTGTACAGCCGCCATCTCCTGTATTTGTTCTCTTCTTTTATAATCCACTCCTCAACAATCTCTCCATTTCTCCCTCATGTTCCTCTCCTCCGCTGTCCTGTGCTCTGAAGTGCTCATTCATTCATTCAGACTGCTTTATGTCCAGTGTAGATGCGTCTGGAAGAAACCTCTCCGTCTCCAGAGCTCTATTATAACTCTTACATAACATAATCCTGCTCTCTAATTGAACACACAGCGTCTGCATCCGTCTTTCCTTCTAGATATTTCCATCAAAGGCGTCTTTGAAGCCTTCAGCGGACACTTTAATAACGATCCTGGAAATATCATACAAAACCTACTGAATATTGAACATTGAAGCCATGCGATTGGCTGATGGCAGATGGCCACTTTATTAGGTCCATCTGCTCAATAATGCAAATTTCTAATCAGCCAATCACATGGCAGCAGCTCAATGCATTTAGGCATGTAGACATGGTCAAGACGATTTTATTATTTATTTTTTTATTTTAACAATTAAACTCTTTCAATTAAATAAATAAAGTCAACAAAAATTGCCAGCAAGTTACTGTAAATTTTACATTAAAGGCTTTTCAGCATCTTGCACAAATATCTAGTGCAGGGGTGCCCAAACTTTTATAGTGGGCCGAAAGTAAATGTTTGCCATGGGAAATTTCCTAATTTGGGCAGCTCGGTGGCGCAGTGGGTAGCACAATCGCCTTGCAGCAAAAAGGTCGCTGGTTCAAGCCCCAGCTGGGTCAGTTGGCGTTTCTGTGTGGAGTTTGCATGTTCTCCCCGTATTTGCATAAGTGTGTATGTGTGTGAGTGAGTGTGTGTGTATGGATGTTTCCAAGTGATTGGTTGCAGCTGGAAGGGCATCCGCTGTGTAAAATATATGCTGGATAAGTTGGTGGTTCATTCCACTGTGGTAAACTCAGATTAATAAAGGGAGTAAGCCAAAAAAAAAATGAATGAATGAATTAAATTAATATTGATTAATCATTCATTCATTTTCTTTTTGGCTATAAATAATAATGAAACAAAACAATAATAATAATAACAAATAAGGAAATTAATAATAATAAATAATAATAAAAATAAAAATAATAATACTAACAATAATAATAATAATGATAATTAAAGAATAACAATAATTAAATAATAATAATAATAATGATAATAATAATATAATAAATGATAATAATAATAATCATGATAAATAATAATAATAATAAAAAATAATAATAAATAATTATAATAATTTAATAATCTCTTTCAATTAAATAAATAAAGTCAACAAAAATTGCCAGCAAGTTACTGTAAATTTTACATTAAAGGCTTTTCAGCATCTTGCCCAAATATCTAGTGCAGGGGTGCCCAAACTTTTATAGTGGGCCGAAAGTAAATGTTTGCCATGGGAAATTTCCTAATTTGGGCAGCTCGGTGGCGCAGTGGGTAGCACAATCGCCTTGCAGCAAAAAGGTCGCTGGTTCAAGCCCCAGCTGGGTCAGTTAGCGTTTCTGTGTGGAGTTTGCATGTTCTCCCCGTATTTGCATAAGTGTGTATGTGTGTGAGTGAGTGTGTGTGTATGGATGTTTCCAAGTGATTGGTTGCAGCTGGAAGGGCATCCGCTGTGTAAAATATATGCTGGATAAGTTGGTGGTTCATTCCACTGTGGTAAACTCAGATTAATAAAGGGAGTAAGCCAAAAAAAAATGAATGAATGAATTAAATTAATATTGATTAATCATTCATTCATTTTCTTTTTGGCTATAAATAATAATGAAACAAAACAATAATATTAATAAATAATAAGGAAATTAATAATAATAAATAATAATAAAAATAAAAATAATAATACTAACAATAATAATAATAATGATAATTAAAGAATAACAATAATTAAATGATAATAATAATATAATAAATGATAATAATAATAATCATGATAAATAATAATAATAATAATAAAAATAATAATAAATAATTATAATAATTTAATAATCTCTTTCAATTAAATAAATAAAGTCAACAAAAGTTGCCAGCAAGTTACTGTAAATTTTACATTAAAGGCTTTTCAGCATCTTGCACAAATATCTAGTGCAGGGGTGCCCAAACTTTTATAGTGGGCCGAAAGTAAATGTTTGCCATGGGAAATTTCCTAATTTGGGCAGCTCGGTGGCGCAGTGGGTAGCACAATCGCCTTGCAGCAAAAAGGTCGCTGGTTCAAGCCCCAGCTGGGTCAGTTAGCGTTTCTGTGTGGAGTTTGCATGTTTGCATTAATCATTCATTCATTTTCTTTTTGGCTTAGTCCCTTTATTAATCCGGGGTCGCCACAGCGGAATGAACCGCCAACTTATCCAGCAAGTTTTTACGCAGCGGATGCCCTTCCAGCAGCAACCCATCTCTGGGAAACATCCACACACACAACGAACAATTTAGCCTACCCAATTCAGCTGTACCGCATGTTTTTGGACTGTGGGGGAAACTGGAGCACCCGGAGGAAACCTACGCGAACGCAGGGAGAACATGCAAACTCCACACAGAAACGCCAACTGAGCCAAGGCTATTTATTTATAAAAATAAATAAATAAATACAGGCAGGCTAATATATCTCTATTCAATTGTATATACATGTCAGATGACAAAAAAAATGAATAAACAAAGATGCTGGTTTTCTGACCCACATTTCGTCTGGGCTCTGAGAGCTTCATGAATCATGTGCTTGTCATTATGAGTGTGATAATGCTGCAACTGGAGCACTGTGTGTCATATGGATCACTGGGAGACTGAAACCACTGATAAACGTTGCATAAAAACCCAGCAGGATGACCCGAAAAACCCCAAACATCACACGGGCAGGGCAGAGCAGGTCAACAGAAACACACCCCACGGCTTCATCACACAACCAAGAAGAAAATGAGCTCATGACGTCTGAAAACACACACACTGGGGGAAACACAGACATATGAAGAACAAACTTCTGAAAGGCTGATCTTACAGGATAACTCTGAACTTACACAAATAGAAACGTGATAACTGAGCACAAACTGCACACCTGAAGTCAGATTTATTATAGCCCTCATGAATATTTTCCCCCAATTTTTTGTTTAACGCAGAGAAGACTTTTGTTTAACACATTTCTAAACATAATAGTGTTAATTACTCATCTCTGATGACAGCACACAATATTAGACTGGATATTAGACTAGTGTTCAGCTTAAAGTGACATGTAAAGGCTTCACTAGGGTAATTAGGGTAAAGTTAGGGTAATTAGGCAAGTCATTGTATAACAGTGGTTTGTTCTGGAGACAATCCAACACTAATATTGCTGAAGGGGCGAATAATATTGACCATAAAATTGGTTTAAAACAATTAAGAACTGCTTTTATTCAAGCTGAAATAAAACAAATGAGACTTTCTCCAGAAGAACAAATATTAGAGGGAATACTGTGAGAAATTTTTAATTTTGGGTAAACAAAGTTTCAGTGCAGGGTTTCTGATTATGTGATCTTATGTGCTGATTTTCCCGCAGTGAGGAACAGCTTATTTTACATTGTGTGTGTGTGTGTGTGTGTGTAAAGTGGATCGAGACGTCCTCTACTTCAGCCTGACCTTTACATTCACACTGAGCTTAACACTTATTCTGCACACACACATACACACACACTTACACATTAACACACAGTACAGACACACACACATACACATAAATACAACACACACCTAGTACAGTACAGAGACACACACACACACACAAATACAGCACACATGCATGAAAAATACAAAATACAAGCGCAAACACATGCACAAATACAGACACACTTACATACAGAGACAGAAACACATGCACACACACCAATAGTGGATAGTGTATATTATTATTATTATTACTATTTATTGGAGTCATTGCTTATTATTGTTAATCATTATGTATTATAGTTTATTTTTATTATTATTATTACTATAATTGTTTATCATTGTTATTTTTATTATTGTTTTTGTTCATTAGGTCATTGTTTATAATTATAATTATCATTGTTTTATTATTTCTATTAATATTAATGTTGTCATCATTTATTATTGCCATAGTTTATTATTACTTTTATTATTAATAAAATTAATAATTTAATCATGCATTACAGTCTTTGCTTATTTTATTATTATTATTATTAATGTCATTATGTATTATTGTTATTGTTTATTATTATAATTATTTATTGCTATTATCATCATTTATTATTATACATTATTACTAAAAAAAATTATTATTATCATTATGTAATATTATAATTATTTTTATTAATATTATTATTATTAATGCTGCTGTTGTTGACATTAGGTTGTTTATTATTATTATTATTATTATTATTATGCTTAATTATTTGTATTAATATTTTTCTTGTCAATCTATTATTGCCATATGTATTATTATTATTAATATCATCATTATTATTATGGCCATTTATGTATAATTTCCATAGTTTATTATAATTATTATTATTGTTATTATGGTGGTTGTTGTTATTTTTATCATGTATTATTGTTACTGTTTATTATTCTTATTGTTCCTATTATTGTTGTTATATAATTCCTATTAATATTGTTGTCATTATTATTTATTGCCATAGTTTTATTATTATTATTATTATTATTATTATTATTGCCTTTATATATAATTGATGCAGTTTTATTATTATTATTATTATTATTATTGTTAATATTATCATCATCATCCTCATCATCATCAATTAATATAGTACTTTTAAATTTTCATGAAATCTTTAAAAAGTCAAAAAGTCCTTTTGGGACGCTATAAAAACAACAAAACCGAACAGAAACATAAATGCAGCAGAGTTTAGCGCTGACCTCAGATGAATGAATTTAATGAAGAGCCGCTCACTGCCTTACAGCAGCAAAAAAAAAAAGAAAAAATGAAGAGAAAAGAAAAATAAACGAGGGCTCGGCTCAGAAAATGTGAATAAATGAAAGATCTGTGTGTGTCTGTGATTCCAGGAACAGCTGGCCATGACTGCTAATGTGGATATTATCACTATATCACTTACCCTTTACTCAGAATACAGCAATCAAGAGTTCAGGACAACTGATGAGGGTCAGCGAGTACATTTAACATTCCAGTATCATCATTTCATACAGATATGTGCTGATTATGCTGAATAATTCAAAGATATCATGAACAATTTATGCATTAGGTCTCTGGTTCGAGTCCCAGCAGGGTCAGTTGGTGTTTCAGTGTGGAGTTTGCATGTTCTCCCCATGTTGGTGTGGGTTTCCCCCACACCCCAAACACATGCACTATAGGGGAATTGATCAACTAAATCGGCCGTAGTATATGAGTGTGTGTGTTTCCCAGTATTGGGTTACAGCTGGAGGGGTATCCGTTGTGTAAAACATATGCTGGAATAACTGGTGGTTCATTCCCCTGTGGTGAACCCTCATGTATAAAAGGACTAAGCAAAAGGAAAATTAATGAATTAATAATAATTAATAAAGAAACTGTGGACAGTAATTAAATATTCAATCTGTTTTTCAACATTTACGTAATGCTGCCACAAAGATACTGACATGAGAACTGCTGATAGAGAAACATTAAGAAATACAGACATCTAAGGTACAAAAGATTAATTTGCATGATCATGAAACATAATACGCATCGACCAATTATTCCAAATGCACTCAACAAAATAAAAAAACCTGCTTCTAATTTATTTTTGTCATCTCAGACGGTGTGAAGCAGCTCTACGCGGCCTGTTTACCACTGCGAGTCTTTCACACATTCCCTCTAAAATAGCAGTGCGTCTGTTTTATCTGCAGTGATTCCTTTAAAAGCCACTCTAATGTTTGCTTGAGAGCATATCAAGGCCGCAAATGAAAAAAAAAGGGTGAAATGTCTTTAAAAGGACTCTAAATGTGGACTTCTAATGCAGTGTGAATGAGGGAAAGTGCTGAGAAGAAAAAAATAAGCATAAAGACAAGCAGAGAGATGTATGCTGTGGATAAAAGCTGTCTGGTAAACACAGAGCCACTGAAAGCGCAGTGTTTAAATGAGAGAGTGTGTGTGTGTGTGTGTGTTGTGTATAAATGCATCTGGATAAAAACTGACAAAAAGCACCATTTGCATGACAAAACACACATCTCTGCTGGATTCTCAACACTCAACGCCTAACATGCAACAGAGCTGTCTTCATTCTGAGACTTCTAAGGGCTCGTTCACACTGATATTTCGAAAAATGTTGGAAACCTGTAACCATTGACTTCCATTGTAGTTGTTTTTCAAATGCAAGTCAATGGTTACACCCAGAACGTCCTTTGCTCACCCTCTATCTGCTGCAAACCTGTTTGACTTTCTTTCTTAGAAGATATTTCAAAAAATGTTGTAAACCTCTAATTATTGACTTGCACTGTATTTATTTTTCCTAAGTCAATGGCTACAGCCAAACCTTCATTTACTCACTCTTCATTTGTTCCAACTTTCCATCTTTCTTTCTTTCTTTCTTTCCTTCCAGGAAGATATTTCGGAAAATGTTGGAAACCTGTAACCATTGACTTCCATTGTAGTTGTTTTTACTTTGCAAGTCAATGGTTACAGCCAAAACATCATTTACTGACCCTACATTTGTTCCTAACCTGTTTGATTTTCTTTTTCTTTCTTTCTTTCTTTCTTTCTTTCTTTCTTTCTTTCTTTCTTTCTGACAAAGAAGATATTTCGAAAAATCTTGGAAACCTGTAACCATTGACATCCATTGTAGTTGTTTTCCTATACAAGTCAATGGTTACACCCAAAACGTCATTTACTCACCCTCTATTTGCTGCAAACCTGTTTGACTTTCTCTTTCTTTCTTTCTTTCTTTCTTTCTTTCTTTCTTTCTTTCTTTCTTTCTTTCTTTCTTTCTTTCTTTCTTTCTTTCTTTTTTACAAGGAAGATATTTCAATACATGTTAAAAACCTGTAACCACTGACTTCCATTGTATTTGTTTTTCCTATGTAAGTCAATGGTTACAGTCAAAACATAATTTACTAACATTTAATTTGTTCCAAACCTGACTTTCATTCTTTCTGACAAAGAAAGATATTTTGAAAAATGTTGTGAACCTCTAACCATTGACTTGCACTGTTTATTTTTCCTATGTAAGTCAATGGTTACAGCCAAAACATCATTCACTCACCCTTCATTTGTTCCAACCCTGTTTGACTTTCATTCTTTCTTTCTTTCTTTCTTTCTTTCTTTCTTTCTTTCTCTCTGACAAAGAAGATATTTCGAAAAATGTTGGAAACCTGTAGCCATTGACATCCATTGTAATTGTTTTTCCTATGTAAGTCAATGGTTACACCCAAAACGTCATTTACTCACCCTCAATTTGCTGCAAACCTGTTTGACTTTCTCTTTCTTTCTTTCTTTCTTTCTTTCTTTCTTTCTTTCTTTCTTTCTTACAAGGAAGACATTTCAATACACGTTGAAAACCTGTAACCATTGACTTCCATTGTATTTGTTTTTCCTATGTAAGTCAATGGTTAGTCAAAACATCATTTACTCACCCTCTATTTATTCCAAACCTGTCATACTATCATTCTTTCAGACAAAGAAAGATATTTCGAAAAATGTTGTAAACCTGTAACCATTGACTTGCACTGTAGCTGTTTTTCCTATGTAAGTTAATGGTTACAGCCAAAATATTGTTTACTTACCCTCTATTTGTTCCAAACCTGTCTGACGTTCCTTCTTTCTGACAAGGAAGATACTTCAAAAAATGTTGTAAACCTGTAACCATTGAATTACATTGTAGTTGTTTTTCCTAAGTCAATGGTTACACCCAAAACAAAAATTAACTCATCCTTTGATTTTTACTCAATTTACTCATCATTTGTTCCAAACCTGTTTGACTCTTTGACAAAGGAAGATATTTCGAAAAATGTTGTAAACCTGTAACTATTGACATCCATAGTAATGTTTTTCCCCCAAATAACTCAATGGTTACAGCTTCCCCCCCAAAAAATATCTTATTTGTGTTAAACCAACAAAAGAAGGTTTGAAACTACACAAGTGTGAGCAAATCAATGCTTATTTTAGGGTGTACTGCCCCTTTAAGACTTTTTAAAAATCTCAATTCAGGTAATAACTAGGCCACAATCACACCTAAGACCTGACCCAATATCCTACATCCATCTCAAGCAAACTTAAATCAGACTTTTACAGATCAACACCCGTCACAGAGACACAAGCTCCAGCAAAAAAAAAACAGGAAGAGAAGTTCACCATTAAACCCTCCACCTGGGAAAAGCACAAAAAAGACGCCCGCAGAGACACTGATGCTGATAATAAAGAGCTTACAGATTAGTCAATCCCACAATGTTCCTGGCAGACAATGGCATACGGGTGTGTATTATTCAGCTCAGCGTGACGGGATGACTCACGCTCACTGATTATCAGTCACTTCACAGATATAGTACACTGAGGAGGAGAGCGTTTCTGAGATGTGTTAAAGTGCACATGAAATCAGAGCTCCCCGTATTGACTTTGTTTCTGTAGTGAACGATTCACCTGCGCATGTCATTAAGAAAAACTTTAATGTTTGCCTTTGTAACATTTAAATCTGACAATGCACTTCCTGTTTGTTTTCAGGTATATTCTCAGATTGAGTCTGATTGAGTTAGTGGGCGTGGCTAATATACCTAGCCACACCCCCTCCAGCTGTCAGCTTTGACAACAAACAGTAATGGTGAGGAGGAGGAGGAGTTTGTTAGGTTATAATGACTCTCCTCAAACCCTTTCCCCCATCATTCTGAATGAAACGCCCATTTTAATACAACCAATCAGCTTGCAGTTGAAAAAAAACAAGCCACTCCCACTGTTTTCTCATTTAATATTCTGTTCCTTTAAGAACTGCGTCACAATATGGAAATATAAATGGTCGCAGCTTCCAGTTCTCTGTTTAACACGAAAGAAGATGTTTTGAAAAATGTTCAGTAAACCAATAACCATCGACTACCACTGTTTTTCCTATACTGGTTACAGGTTTCCGACACTCTTCAGAACATCTTCTTTTGTGTTCAACAGAAGAAACTCAAACATTGCGTCAATGGTTACAGGTTTCCAACATTCTTCAGATTATCTTCTTTTGTCTTCAAGAGCAGAAAGAAACTCATAAAGGTTTGCAACCATCTGGGGGTGAGTAAATAGTGAGTAAATTGTCATTTTTGGGTGAACTATCCCTTTAATTTGACGCAATGCAAATTTATAGAAATGAGTGCTCGGCAAAGATTAATTGTGGTTAATCACATCTAAAACAAAAGTTTGTTCTCACATAATATGCATGTGTGTGTGTGTTATATATATTATTATTAATATGTATATTACTATTAAAGGTGGCATGGTGGCTCTGTGTGGAGTTTGCATGTTCTCCTCATGTTGGCGTGGGTTTCCTGCGAGCGCTTCGGTTTCCCCCACAGTCCAAACACATGCGCTATAGGGGAACTGATGAACTAAATTGGCCATAGTGTATGAGTGTGTGTGAATGAGAGTGTATGGGTGTGTCCCAGAGATGGGTTGCGGCTGGAAGGGCATGCGCTGTGTAAAACATAAGCTGGAATAGTAGGTGGTTCATTCCTCTGTGGAGACCCCTGATTAATTAGAGACTAAGCCGAAGGAAAATGAATGAATGAATTATTATTACTATTATTATTTATTATGCATGTCAAACACACATCCATAAAAAGAAAACAATATTGTTACATATATTTTAAGTTATAAATATTTTGTATCGTATACATATATATATATTATATTTAAATATAAATAAACATTTTCTCAA